CTACAAATATACCCAAGCGACTTAAGACTGGTTTTGTGCTCCAGGCTCACATTTAATTAGGCTACAGTTAATTCTGATGCAATTGCATTAAAAAGGCTATTGTACAACAATTCTATATAAAACAAGAGTGAATTGACCATCAAAATGTAACATCTGGTGTTAAAAGGTATGTTTTTTTTATGTAACTTTCTCCCTGATAACATGTAGATGTGGTGTGGATGCAATCTATCAGATTTAACAAGAAAACCTGCTGATTCATGATTCCAGTTCTGTCCTTTAACATCAATTTAGATGATCACAAATCAGAATGCAAGTGATCAAATAACATTAATTGATGTTACAAGTCTTAAAGGAAATCTGCAACTTGTACATGCTTCATCCTGCACTGCACTTAGATAAGGTCAGAGCTGTTCAAATGCTGTAGTTGTTTCCATAATTTAAACATAGGCAACAGGCCGGGCCATTATGTAGGTTTGTGTCTAAGGTTCCACAGTATGACTCTGAACTCGGGCACCGGTCCAATTGTGCATTTCTTTCTGAGAAAATGAATAGGCGTAATAAAAAAACAGAAAACAATATCACGTCGAATCAATTTGCCTCTTTCATTCCACACACTATTCCCTTTCTCTCATCTTTTGGGGAGGTGATGTGTTGGTGGGGTAAATTATGGCAATTCTCATGGTGAGGCGCAAATAAACTCAGAGCGGCAGAAGTAACTGTTCTCTACTGAAGCGTGCAGCTGTGCCGAGACTCCCGCTGGCAGGCCGTTTAGGTGCTGTGCTCAAGTCGCGAAAGACTAATGCCAGAAAATATCTCGACCCAGTCTGCGGAAATTGATCTGCTCCTGAGGGGAAAAAATGACTGATTTTAATTTTGTCATGCCTCTCTCTCCCTCGCCTTTCTTAAAGTAAGCTGCGTTCTTCCACAGGCAATAGAGTGACAAAAATGGCTCAAGATAGGTGCACAGATGAGCAAAAGTATTTTCTACAATATAGCCTTGATGTTCTCCCCCCCTGGATAAACTACATGCTGATGGACTTGAAATCAGTCCCCCACACATTCCGTTCAGTGCAATTCACAATCACAGGATGCAAGGCGGTCTGTAAATCCTGGAAATTCAGGATAGATGGTAGAGCTACTGTGTATGGATTTTTGGAGGCACCCCAAACCCAGCCTGATGCATGAGCAAGTGTATGATAAATGTGCTTCCAAATGCTGCGTCCTGATCCCTCTCACCTCGCGCTGCATTTGCACCAGCAGAAGTTACATTTACCACTGAATAGATTTGCTGAGACACCCACAGTCCCCTTTTAAAATGAAGAGCAACTGGCCTTGTTAAGGGAGTCTCTCCAGTGGCTGTAATGTTATGCAAATGGTTTAATATGAAGATAAAGACTGTAGCGGCATGCCACGCTCTACCAGTTCAAGCCCCGGTGGATCCTCAGAGCCTTCACTAATGAGAGAGGGATTATTCTGGAGTCATTAAATGGTGCCCTCCCTGACATCTCTCCCCTCTTCCCCCGGTTATGCCCATTAATGCACTGTACACAGACTTTAGAGATACCTTTTACCACCGGCTTCTGGGTTTTTACACATCAGAATGTCACTGAATAGCAAATTACATTCTCTTCCCACAGAGAAAATTGCTTTTGAATCGCTTATAAGGATTTTTTTTTTAGGAAGGAGGGGGGAACCATGCGAAAACATAATTACTTGTGTTGAAAATCTCATTGGCAGTTGTTGCTGCTGGTTGCTCTGGAAATTTATTTAAGGAATTATGCGGAAATGCATCTGTGTGTGTTTTTGGTTGGATATGCACAAGAACATGTACAAAAACTGCGCTCTTATTGACCAATACCTGTGAATTAAGTATAAAGTAACTGACATATCGCACAAGTTAGACAAGCTAGCTAAAATGGTTGAGATTTGGTGAGATAGCTTAAGCACTAATATCAAAGAACAGCAGGTAATATCTGATTGGTTCTCAATTGCCGATACTGAACAACACCAGCCACACTCTTAGAAATAAAGTTTCTTTATTGGCATTGATGTTTTCATGAAGAACCTCTAACTTCTATAAAACCTTCACATTGAGCAAAAATATTCTTCAGATTAATATGTTCTTCACAGGAAAAAAAAAATGGTTCTTTAAAGATCGGTTCACTGAAAGGTTCTTTGGGGAACCAAAAATGGCACTGTTGTGAAAAGGTTCTTGAAAGTGGAATATAGGTTTTTCAGATTATTAAAATGTTCTTTGTTCACTGAAAGGTGCTTTGAGGAACCAAAAATGTTTCTTCTACCCTCTTGAAGGTTCTAAAAGAGGATTTTCGCATAGATATGTATAGATGCCACATTTGACCGCTCCAGATATGTTGACGTGTCCGCCATCTTGGAATGGTCTATGCCGTCGCTCACAATAACAATCAATGAGTTTCAAAATGCAACAACATTGTGCAGCATCTGATTGTAAAAACTACCTAAATTTAAATTCCCGAAAAAAACTGGATAACCTTTCACAGGTAAGAATGTGTTGGTTTGTGTTTTTAATATGTATTAACTCAATATTACAGGTTTTTAAACTAAAGTACATTTTAAATGCCTTGTTAGCTAATGGCTTTGTCTTGTTGTATTGTGTTAGTTTAGCAAAAACATCTTCAGAAGTCTACTGAAGATATACTGTATATCCATGCACCAGCAACTTGCTTTCGAGTGTTTATGGACATTCCAATATGGTGGATGGCTTATGTGTAGCGGTCCATAGAAACAGCCGCTAATAGGCCATCTACCTACAGGTGCATCTCAATAAATTAGAATGTCGTGGAAAAGTTAATTTATTTCAGTAATTCAACTCAAATTGTGAAACTCGTGTATTAAATCAATTCAATGCACACAGACTGAAGTAGTTTAAGTCTTTGGTTCTTTTAATTGTGATGATTTTGGTTCACATTTAACAAAAACCCACCAATTCACTATCT